AACAATATTACAGGTCTTAGTTACCTTAAGGTCTTAGTTACCTTAACCAAAACTGAGGATATTCTTCCACAGATCCAGTCTAACAAGTAAGATACATAAAATATAAAAAACGCATTCACATACACCATGACGACATACAAAATCACACAATGAGAAACAGTAATACACATAAATAAACAACAAAACAAATGCTGCATTTCAACTAAGCATTATTTCTGTGTGAAATTCTTTCCTCATTCCCTCAATGTCATAAATTATAGATTTATATTTAATTTAACAAAATGCTCCTGGGAAATGTAATTTTTATTGTTTTAGTAGATTATTTAAAGGAAAATGTGTACCAGTGACCAAACCTATCTGTGAAAATGGGTTACAGCCAGTTGCGATCTATGATGAAACGGGCTGCTGTTTTCACTACGACTGCAGATGTAAGCACAACTCAAATTAAAAAAAAGAGAAATCAAGCAGCTACTTAAAATACATCAGCAAAATATAATCTCTAATTCTATACTTGCAGGTGTCTGCAGTGGCTGGGGAGATCCTCATTTTATTACATTTGATGGCCAATATTACAGCTTCCAGAAAAACTGCACAAGTGCTGTTCAAAGAGATCATTCCCAGATATGGTTTAAAGATTCTTATTGACAATGAAAACTGTGACAGCTCTGGAGCTGTGACCTGCCCTAAAGCCCTGAATGTGTCTTACAAAGACTATGAAATTATTCTCACACAAGAGAGGATTCCCAAGACCGTAAACAGGGTAATTATCACAACAATCAAATGAGAGTTATTCTAATTATTTTACTTGAATAGTGTGTTTAAATTATATACAGTGAGGGTCTGTAGAAAATGTTATGTATGCTGAAAATGCTGTTACAAATGTTGATATTGTGCAGGTCTACATCAACGGCAAGCAGGTATTCCCAACCTACTCTAATAAGGACCTCAGCATTACAAGTTCAGGGATCGAGCTGCATTTGACAATCCCAGCAATTGAAGCAGTTGTGACATTCAGAGGACTTTTATTCAGCATTGATTTGCCATTTGCACTCTTCCACAATAACACAGAGGGACAATGTGGTAAGTTAATCATTGGATTGTTGGCAGAGTACATCAGTTGAAAACAGTTCTTTATAAACTAAGAAAATGCCAATTTAATATTTGTCCTGTTGATATTTACTTTTACAATAAGGTACCTGTGACAATAACAAGAAAAATGACTGCAGATTACCAAATGCCATGATTCATTCCTCATGCTCTGAGATGGCCAATCACTGGCGTGTACAAGTTAAGGAAAAGCCATATTGTGAGAAGGGTTCTCATGATAGGATGATTACTCTCATCTAGTCCAAACAATTGTACGTGAAGCTTCATTATGCTGTTTTTACAATTAATCCTGACCTGCTACATTTGTAATGGTTGTAAACCATCAAATTCCTGTCGACATATCACAAGATATTTTTTATTATTATTTTATCTCTGTTCAAATAACCCAGTCTTTTTATTTAAAGATATGAAAAACCCATCCATATGTCATTCACAGGCAATCATCCTCCCATCTGTCAAATGCACAACACCACCACCCATCTGCAGACAAAGAATTGCAAGTCAGTTGTGCCGGTGGAAATGACAGCCTGTGAAGGATCCTGTGGAGCATCCTCATCAATGTGAGATGCATGAGAAGGAATAGGAATTGCATTGGCAGGACAAGTATTTGTTAACATTGCACAGCAGCTGACTGACTCTGAGCTTGTCTGATCTATTATTTACAGGTACTCTGCAGAGAGCAACAGTTTGACACATGCATGCTCATGCTGTAAAGAAATGGCCACCAGCAAGAAGGAAGTGGAGATGATCTGCTCTGATGGCAGCAGGCAGAAGCACTCTTACATTTCAGTTGACAAGTGCGGCTGTCAAGTCGCTGAATGTATTGAAACACCACAGACTAATGGAAAAAGTTTGAAACTGGAAACCAATCTCACTCAACCTTGATTTTGAAAAACTCCAGAAATGTTTTTCATCCAAAAAGAGCTTTACTTCGAGCTGTTAGACCTTTATGTTTCATGTCTTCCAAGGATGATGAAAATGTTTCCTACATTTAAGACACTGGATCTTTGAACCTTTACCTTTACCTGAAGGTCATCATGACTGTCAGTGTGGCAGCTCTGGCGTCATGATGATTGCACAGGCTGGTATCATGTACTCTTTTAACTTTTTCCAATGGCAATGTGATGTTTTCAGCCCATGAGGGTCTTTCTTTCAATGCAAATAACTAATGAGACAAAACATATATATGAAGGGCTTCAGATTGACAGTATACTGCATGAATGAAGAAAGATGTTTTGCAGTGTTTATGTTTTTGGTGAAAGGATTTTCCAACATCTAATG